CCACTAATCAAGCCCACAAAACTTTTAACATCTATGTAAAAAAACTCATAGGGGAAAGACCTTAGTGCTTTGGTATGCAAGAGTTACATCCCCTTTGGCGCTGGTCCGAGACTCTGTGTAGGGGCTTACTTTGCTAAGCTGCTCATGGCCATTTTCATCCACAATTTGTGTAGATACAGGTTTTATTTTGTTTTATCACCTAATGAATCATAATTCAATTCACTTTTCAGTATAATCAAAGTCTTCACTTACGTATATACCTATGGCTTGCAGGTGGTCAATGAAGGCAGAGACCACTGTTACTCGAAGCTATATGCTTATGTTTCCGCTTGGGTGTGATGTTCAATTCTCAGAAGATATAAGACGGCTGGTTATTAGAGTAGTTATATTCCTATCGAGTTATTATATATCTTATTCTAATGAATAAATAAAGTAAGCTAGACAGATGGTTCTAATCTATGAATATGCTTTGTCATTACACAGTACTAGTATATGATAAGATAATTGTATTATGAAATCAGTTTATGATATTATTTGTGCTGAGGTTCCTAATAAGTGAAAATTTATCAAAGGCAATTAGTAACCAATAACAAGTATAATCAAACGAGTCTCGTATCTTTCAACAATAATTGATAACATCATTAGGAGTTGTCAAATGAAGAAATACTATCTTGAGTGCTACTCTATTTTGAGTGTTTTATTGCCATGCATTTCGCTACTTTTAATAGCACATTTGCCGCTTGACCGTTTTCCTAATTTTTCATTTGCACTAAACACCATCGTAAGCTTATACCATGGCTTAAAAATCTATTGATATGATCATGATTTATGGCTGGGCACTACCACCAACCAGGATGGTCAGGGATGATACAGTCACTGAGAAGTTGGATGATACAGTGAAGCGGCTGCAACAGATCAGCTGCCAAGAATCAAACAGGCCTTTTGCTGTAAATTAACTACATTCCGTAGAAACTGTATCTAACATGTATGTTGTTCCTATGTGAATCATTCATCCCATTTGTATGGCATATTCTGATCTAGATAGCAGTTAAGATAAACGATTTCAAAAGAATAAAATATCAGCTATGAATATGTCTTAAAGAGATTTAACAGGCAAAAACAAAAGAAAAAGGAAAAAACAGAAATCCACCTAAAGAGTTCTCTTTTTCTATACACATTTTCTTTCAGAAAGTTGAAGCTCTAAGATCAGGTAAGCCCCTAAAAGTGATTCCTACTTCTTCAGCCTCGCTTAAAGGGAAGTTTCAAAAGAATCGGAGGACGTTTAGGGAGCTCTATTGTCTCCTTGTTCGAATCCTCTGTCTGATCCACAGGCTTACTCACTGCTGTTGTTGCTTTATCCACAAGAAAGCTCGGTTCCAAACACTCTACTTCGTCCAGCGGTTTACTTGATGTGGTTCCATTGTCTGACTCACCTTGAGCTCTGTTACTCGTATTGGCTGAGTGCTTGATCCTTGTAGACCTTTCACGTTTTATCGGTTTAGATGTACTGTTCACTGCATAAAACCCTGATTCAAGAGCTTCAAGAGCACGAGTAGTCAACGGCCTCTTTCTCGTGCTTTGTCTTCTTGGAGGATCTGTGTTTTTCTGTTGGTTTTGCTCTTCCTCTTCTTCTTCTTGTTTTATTGATACAGTTTCTTGAGTAGTTCCATGATCAGTGGAAGGAGAATCCCTCTTGTCTGAGCTTGACGTTGAAGGAAGTTGAATCAGTTTCTCTTCCAGATCCTTTGAAGAACACAACTGTTTTGATGATTCCTCTTCTTGTTTCTTTGAAGAACACTGCATGTCTATAGAACATAACTCACTTGGTTCAGTCTTTGGCCTCAGAATCTCTGTCCCGTCTCCAGCTTCTTCTGGTTTCTCAGTCTTGATGTCGACCGAACTTTCACCAAAACGTTCTATATCTTTCCTTACACAGGCACTGAGCCGCCTTCGTTTTGGCAAGGGAAATGAACTAAGCGAATGATGATTGTTAACAGATTCTGATTTTCGGACAGACCTCTTCTTTGACCGAACCTTCTCCTCCTTCACACCAGAACCAGTCAGCTCCCAAGTATTGGTACCAGATTGGTTCTGCAATGATGATGATGGATCACCAAAGACATTGCAGAGATTCTCATTAGCGGGTGGCAAACGTCTCTGTCTCCTTATCCCTGATGACTGGTTCACACTTGTATCCACAATCATGAATCTCACTTTCTCTTCTTCCACCAGTTTCTTCATTCCTCTCTTCTCCCACTTACATTCTTTAGCAAACTTGGCTTGCTTCTCTACATCCACACAGTAGTTGTTATCTCCTGAACAAGGATTCTTCAGCTCTCGAAATGCACACAACTTCTCTCCTGAAGCCAAACCAGTAGTGTCCACAACAGTGAACTTCATATGAGTAGAAGAAGAAGAGCCTGGAGACTTTAGGTAACGGCGTTTCTCTTGCTTTGACTGATCATGGTTATCATCCTCTTCCATGATTCCATTGCAAGGTCTGCTGATCTCTGCTGCCCCCTCAAACTCAAGAAGCTCAGGATCCGAAACAACCTTTTTGATAATGTCACTGATGGAATCAAAGTAATGATTCTGTTTAACAAGTTTTCGTCTCGAAAACTTCTTCACCCCAGGGATGAGGAAGACGATGTTGTTGTTGTTGTCTTTAGATTTGATGTAACCACGGTCTTTAGGCTGCTCAGAACGCCACCCTCTGGCTAGCAAACGTGGCCACACAGCTTCCCAGAAGATATCATTGCAACGGGCCTTGCTTAGACGGGAACCACCGCTCAGTTTTTCGATTATTTCAGCAGATGTGAGTGAGCTGTATACACCTAAACCAGCAGGAGGAACCGCAGAGGAAACCGTGAACCATTGTTTTGATTTTACAGGCTCTGTTGTTAGGACTGTCAAATCTTTGTCTTTACCGATTGCTACAGCTTCCACAAGAGACTTAAGACCCACTAGTTCCTTCACAGAGCTGATGTATTCCTCCAGAGATGTATTCCCTTCAGCAAATGACTTCGAGACCTGTTAATAGATAAGGTAAAAAACTTTTGTTAATACACATGCAAGGATATGTTCAGTGTAAGAGAAAGACTCACATTCACAAGCTTTGTCTTCTGCGATTCATCGGTAATACTGGGAATCAAACGTGACAGCAGCTGTTGTAGTCTCCAACCAGAGTAAAGCTTCTTCCCTTGTATGCATTTCCTACTACGCTTCTTGAGTGAGTTAGACCAAATCTTGTGCTTAGTAGATTTGTAGAACTTTCCATAGTAAAAAGAAAGCAGTTCTCCTGTTTCTTTCCCCTCCAAGAACATCTTCACCTGAGTGAAGTTCTTCCCGAATGTATACAGACCAAGAACAAAGCCATCAACCTCAAAATCTTCCCAGGAACTGGATGATCTCTCAGGCACAGCTTCAAGAATCTGCTTAGATGAATCCCTGTTGCGGTTTCTTTTAGTTTTTAGAGATTTGAGAGACTCACTCATGTCTACATTGTCGTCTTTAAGTTTGGTGTCTATCCACGTTATGTCAAGAGGTAGTCCCACAACTATGGCAGCATTTGATTCGTGATCAGAAGCTAGAGGATTCAAAAGATAAGATGCACGTTTGGATTCACATATCATAGGAGGTATCTCTGCCTGATACTCGTCTCCAACACGAATGTCAACTTTTGGATCTCCACACACATATTCTTCGCCACAAGAATCTTCCATAGGAGTGTTTTCTTCATCCATCAAAAGAACTGTCTGCATAAAAAACATTTTAAATGGGAGTTAAAGAAAAAACTGAATATAAGAGAAGATAACAGAGTTGTTTCACTCATTTAAGGTAAAAGAAAACCTTTCACTCATTTAAGGTTAAAGAAAACCTTCAAGAACACACTCGAACTATTCTATAACAAGCAGAGAACTTACAAAAAAGGCTAAGACATCATGTTCTTACAAGAAAAGATTCAGCTGGATAAAATGAGAACACTAAACTGATCGATCCACGGAAAGGTAGACAACCAACACACTCTTCACTCACCAAAGGTCTTGAAAACATAGCTTAAAGTTACTAATAAAAAAATCACAATAGAACAGAGAGGCAAAGATTCATTAAAGATGATCCCAATGGATGTAATAAGGACAATGAAAGCAACAGTTAGGGAGATAAGAGATAAATCTACTGTTACAGATCGAAAACAAAGATGATAACAAAACCACATCAAGAAACCCCACAATAGATACCAAGACTTAGACAAAAACGATTGTTTTGAGAGCGGTGGAGGAAACCCAGAATCAAGAACATGCTTCTTTTTATCTTTGAACGAGAAGACTCAATCCCGAGACCAGCATCGATCTCATATACACAAACCAAAGACAAGTAATTTCCAAACGTAAACAATTAAGACGAGTCACATCACATTGGAAACCAAGTGAAGCAACAAAACGGAGCATAAAGTTGAAATCTTTAGAAAACGTGAAGACACGAATTCTACAAAAAAAAGAATGTAAAAAAGGATCTTGTTTTTTTGGTCGATCTCTCTATGCATTAACAGTAACGTTTATTTTGCAAAACCGCACGAACACGAACGTGGATTACCTAAAAGAGGAGGAAGAGAGAGATTTGTGGTAACCTGAAGAGATGATGTTTCAGCTTTGCATTGAAGTGAGACTCCTCCTCGACTCGACTAGGCAACGACCGAACAAGTTTTGGTTTCCTTTTGTGGGGATAAAGAGAGAGAGAGAGATCACTTTGGCCGCTCTTTCAACACAAGTCTTCGAAGAGAGAACACAACCTCAACACACAAGGACGAAAAAGTTTCTTTTCTCTTTGAGAAATATAGCTTACAAGCAATATTCTTTTAATTAATGATCTATTAAATTATATGCATTTACATTATGTATTTCTTTTAAATGAAAAAAAAAATATTTTTGGAATAAGAATGAATACATAATACTTATTTCTGTGATACATAAGATACGTATTACGTATAGTAAAATAAACATCTCATTTTTTTTTTGTTTCAAATTATTTGTTTTTCATCAATAAAAAAAATATTCAAAAAATGGATATTTGCCTCAATGGAGGTTTTATTTTCTTCGAGTTTAGTTTGTAGATTGCTTCAACATGAGCAAATCTCATCTCCGTAAACCTAGATTTCAAATATCAGACGTAGATCCTATCCTACTAATGAAACTTATATGATAAGAGAAAATCAGCGCCTATGAGCGGCATTGGTCTAGAGACTTATAATGGGAAAATTGTCATTAAATCACTAATTTTTAAATTTGATTGAAATAAACTACCAACTTTCTCATAAGCCAAACAAAACTCAACTTTTGTTGACGAGCTATTCTAATCACAAACTTTCGTCGACCATATTTAGTCATATCGTTAGTCAACAGTTATAGTTGACTAACGGTAGGCTTAAAATGACTTTCAAAGTTGATGTTTCTTTTGACACAAATATAAATCAATATTTTTTTTTACAATATTAGATATATTTTAAATATTGAAAATAATTATAGAACTGAAGCACTAATAAATAAAATGATAAATAAAAAATCTAATAAAATATAAATAAAATTCAATGTAAAATAATTAGTTAACATACATTAACTGAGTATCTTAGTTATAAAATGATAAGAATATTTTAATTATTTACGATTAAATTTTATAAATATTTATATAATCCTATTTGAGTTATGTTTTATAATTTTATTTTCAAAATTTTGTTGATGAAATATTAATTCAACTCTTGTTTCTTAAATGAAAAAAGTTATTGGTTAACGAATTATTCATGATTCTTTAAGTTAATAATAAAGATCAAACAAATCTAAATATTTTCAAAAAAAATTTCACAAGTGGTTTTCTGCATTTAAAACACAAATAAGTTTCACCAAAATCGATAACTCTTTTTGTTTTCCGATAACTCATTATGTTTAAAAAATCAAGAATTGAAGTAATATTTCACTAACAAATTTTTGACGGTCAAATTATAAAACATAATCCGTATAGGATTATACAAATAATTTTTAAATACTAATCGTAAATAATTAAAAAAATCATAATCATTTTTAACTAAAATACTCAATTAAGGATATGTTAATTAATAATTTTACATTGAGTTATGTTTATATTTTTGAATGGAATTTATTTTTATTTACAATTTTATTTATTATTGTTATAGTTATTAAAAGTTTCATTTAAAATCAAATACTTTGAAAAATTGTTGATTTATATTTGTGCCAAAAAACATCAATTTTAAAAACCATTTTGGGCATACCGTTAGTCAACTATAACTGTTGACTGACGATATGACTAAATTGGTATAGTCGACGAAAGTTTGTGATTAAAATGACTTGTCAACAAAAGTTGAGTGTTTTTTGACTTATGAAAAAGTTGGTGCTTTATTTGAACCAAATTTGAAAGTTGGTAATTTAAATGACAATTTTCCCGATTTATAATAGTCTTGCATCATAATTTAAGGTACTTCTTTAGACCTCAAAACTAATGTGAAAATAAAATTCCATCAAGAGTAACACATCAAATCTATGGTTGGTGCAGCCTTATAGTATATCTAAAATTTCTCTATCAACCTATTCAAATTGCTCAATTACAAAAAAACCCTATATCAAATTGCTGGGCACAACATCTGGGTGCTTACTATCTTCAGTATGCTTGATACTGAACTTATCTTGTATGAGTAATAAATAATCGGACTTATACTTCACCTCATAAAAATGAGTACTTGTTATTTTGTGTAATTGCTCAAAATTGAATTACTTGTTATTAATTATTCCGTTTACTCTCGAATACTTGTGAGTTACTTACAAATATATTTGAGTATTTTAAATTTACTTACTAAATAATATTTTAATAGAAATAGACATTAAAAATTAATTTGTTTAGTCCACTATAAAAAATACAATACCTAATTCAAATATTTCTGCACTACTATAAAAATGAAAAAAATAACAAAACATGGATTCTCGATATAAGGGTATTGTTTACTTTTCATAATAACAGAAATATCTTCTATAGAATAGTAGCGGATAATACAAATCGAGTAACTATTATTTTCCATATTTGTTACTTGTCTTATATTTGTAAGTATCTAAATTAAATTATTTGATCTCCAACTTAACAACACGAGTACTTGAAAAATCAAAATAGTAATAGAACGAATAGGAAATATAAACCTAGTGAGGAGTATTGTACCCAACCCAGGGGAGGAGGCAGCACTGAGAGAGGAGGGTCACTTGATCCCTATAGATTTCTATCAAAAACTAATTCCTTATATATTAAAAGAGAAGCATTGTAATAAATGAGTTCACATTATAATTGACACGTGTCGGTTTCATAATCATTTGACAATAAATGTGTTCACATATTAATTTGTTAAATTTATTATTTAATGTGTTTATACACTATTTTTAATCAATTCATTTTCCTACATTTTTTTGCTTTTGTATTGATAAATTAAAATTTTCTACGTGAAACTAGTGAATAATATCTTTATTGTAACAAAATTAAAACATCATTAAGATTCGCATCAACGAAAATGTTACGATAACAATGTTTGTAAAAATTGAAAGTTTCGTACCTTGCCGAAGTTGGTCATGGTTGAGGTTTTGGTACACAATAACAACAAATAAGGTGACTGATTATGAATTAAAAAAGTTGAGGTAAAAAACACCACACGTAAAGTCGGATCTTTAGTTTAGTCAAATATTAACATTTTTATAAAGTTTTCATATCAGACCAAGAATTAGAAACAAAATCAAATTAGTAGAAAAAATCAGAAATCGGAAAAGCTTTAAAATAAATAAAAATCACAAAATCGATTAAAACAGAATTCAGGTACCAAGTGAAGATGTCACTTTATAATATATATTATTTTTATTGTTTACTGGTAAAATTTGATTTTCTTCATATGAAAAATGTAATTAATTTCTAGGTTTGTTTTATTTTTACTTAATTTTATTTAAGAATTTACTATCATGTGTTATTTTGAACAAAAATGTTTTAAATCTTTATTACCGGTATATTTATATATTTATCATCACATTTATATACTTTTACATAAACATACATGTACACATTGACATGAGCGACTATAACTAAATATTCACCACAAGTGAGAATTTTAAGGGAGATTTGCCAAAACCAACCTAAAATTTCATTTCAACCCTAAAGGTGTACCCCTTATTGAGTCAAATGCAAAACCAACCTAAAGGGGTTATGAAGTTACTACTTAACCCTTGTGACCAAACAAAAAAACAGACAGTTATTTTACGGTTCTGTCCTTTGCAAGTCTACACATAATAGAGAGAAGTCTACACATTTGTAAACCTTCTTAGAAGTCTACTTTGTAGACGTATTCTACAGTCTACATCGTCATTTGATCTTATAATTTAATTTTAAAAATGTATAAAAATAATTTTTGGGAAGTTTTTAAATAAATCATCAATATAAAGATTAGTATGAAATATATAAATTAAAATTTCATATAAGTGAAAAGTTTAATAGAATTTATATTGAATTGGTAANGGTAACCATGTGAAAGATAATGTGTTATGGTTTCCAAACAAAATGGTATAACATGCTTTGTCTTTTAGGGTTAGATTCATATATTAGGGTTAGATATTTGATTTTAATTTTTTTTTGTTTTTTTGACACACTAATGTTGAGAAGTTTATTTTTTCTATATTTAGATATTTAATATAATAATTAATACATTTTTGATTATACAATAAATATTTAGGGTATCAGATTTGTGGTTTAGGGTTATAGTAGACTTACAATAAAGTCTACTTACATTTAGGGTTTGCTCAAACAATAAAGCAAAAAAAAAAAAAACGGAGTTGTAGAAAGTCTACACACTTATACCAAATTAACCTAACCGGATTTAACCAACTTAGAGTATAGTAGACTTACAATTAAGTCTACTTATATGTAGACGTCTATTTCAGTCTACGTTAATTTGTGTTTACCAAAATAAATTATTTTAAAATTAAAATTAACTAAGCGGGAAATGAAAATGAATTTTGGAGCCTATTTTTCCATATTGGCGCCATTATTTAGGGTATAGTAGACTTACAGTAAAGTCTACGTATATGTAGACGTCTATTTCAGTCTACATTAATTGGTGTTTATCAAAATAAATATTTTAAAATTAAAATTAACTAAGCGGGAAACGAAAATGAATTTTGGAGTCTATTTTTTCCTATTGGCGCCAATACTTACGGTAAATTCTACTTCGATAGTAGACGTCTCTTTTAGTCTACTATAATTGGTGATTACAAAAAAAAAATTATTTTAATATTAAATTTATTTATTTATGAATTAAAATGTGAATTACAATTTTATCAAAAAAAATATATAATAAGTCTATTAAATATATAATGAAAAAAAAATTTGATTATATATTATAAACTATTTAAACAATAAAGAAAAATATTATAGTAGACTTCTTCTACCTAACCTAAAATTTGACCAAAATAATTCTAACCAAACCAAAATTAAACCAAAGAGTTTTAACCTAACCAGAAAAATAACTTGACATATAAATACTCCTTCTTATTAAAAAAGGGCCGACATAAAAAACAAGCTGCCTCTCTCTCTCTCTCTCTCTGAATCCTCTCCTTCTCGCTCGCGATCTCCTTCTCCGCCTTCCCGCGACGCTCCTTACCGTCTCCGATCGAAAGCCGAGAATCAAGGAGCTTCAGGGAGCCGTAACACTAGGAGCCGTCAACAAGCTGGGAACATCCGTACCTTCGCCGATCTGAATCGTTCCCCTGCTGACGGCGCGGATATTGATTCTGATGAAGGGCAAGAGTACTACACTGGTGGACAGAGGAGGTTAATAGTTTGCTTATCTTTCATTATTTAGCAAATCATGTTAATATAGTGAAACTCATCTTATTCAAAGGCTGTAGAATTGTGCTATTTGATTGCTTAATCATGTTGTAGGAATGATCATATCTCAATCTTGGACATGTTTAAAGCTTTATATTCATTGTTTGTGCTAATGGTGTTTTTTTCTTTTTGGATTGTGCCTTGTGTTTAGTGGGATGATGGTTCAAGATCCTAAGAAACCAAAAGATGTTGATGCACTCTTGGAGCAAGCTAGGCTGTCAGCTGTGGACAGACCTGTTGAGCCATCAAGATCAGCTTCTACAAGCTTCACTGGAGCTTCTAGGATGTTGTCTGGTGAACCTGTTCCCTCTGCTCCTCAGCAGCAGCTACAAGAGCAGCCTCAATTGGTTATGCACACCATCGCTTTCTGGAGCAACGGTTTCACCGTTAATGATGGTCCTTTAAGGATGTTCGAGGACCCTGAAAACGCCTTTATGGAGGTATTATCCAAATCAGAGTTTTATACAACACCATAGAACTCAAATTGATTAGAATAGGAATTTGTCTTTTTATTATAAATTGAAGTTCTTTTTTCCTCTTACAGTATTACTACTAACACACTTGGCTGTTAAAATTCAGGAAGTTTCATCGAGTAAGAAGACTATCTTTGCCGATTTCTCCCAGAAAAAAAACGTGCTTGTTAACATACCAAATATGTAAGTAGTTCCTTTAATTCACCTCTTTTTCTTCTTGAGAGCATTATTTTTATCATTTTATATATCTCTCCATATTTTTACAGCATCAGTTTCTTCAAAGATGTTGGAGAAGTTGCTAGTGTTAGACTTATTGATAGTAATGATGAAAATAATTTTAATTACATAATGATAGTTTTTCTGAAAGTTAGGACTGCTGATTAAATCTCTTGTACTATAGGTTATGCGAATTTACAAGCATGTTAAAGGGATTTATGTCAAGATGCCTGAGATAGCTCCATACCCTTTCCGACCCAAGTAAGTTGATTTTCTCTAAAACTTAATGCTATATTTTTATGTCAATAACAAGAAGATGAATGCTTATTTTTTTGTTTGTTTGTTAATTAGGTGCAACCTTACTGACCTTGCAGAGAAGTTTTGGTAAGTGATTTATAACTATTTGCATTTTTGAATTTTGTTATCAAGAGATGGTATAATAATGACATGTGGTTTTTGATATATTCTAGGTGCGAAGACGAGCTTAGACGAGAAGGCTTTGGTTTGCCGACCAGATCAAAGCCGGAGGAAGAGGAGGCAATCCCCTGCGCCGTTCAAAAGGTTACCTTCTGTGGTCAGTACGTTGGTTCATTTCCAAGTACGTTGGTTCAAAATCTACATAAGATAAATGTAAAAGAGTGAAGGGTTGGGTTTCTTTGTAGCTGGTTTTATAATATGTTTTACCTTTAATCATGTTGTACTTTTGTTTTTCTTCTGTTAAGTTTCTATCTTTTTGATATGTTAACTTTGAAAAGTGCAGGCTGATAATTGTCCTTTGAGGAAGC